GTGTATAGTATATAAGATTGAAAGACATCAAAAGATAGTTTTTGGTTGGTAATATGGCACAGCCATACCTGAATGGAATGGCAGAAGTCATAAGGTCAGCATAGCTACTTGGCAAAGATACAGCAAAGCTCAGCCACATGATAGCTGCCATGCCACCTTTGGTTTTCATCTCCATCTGTTACAAACTTGGGGCACTTTTAATATTTGTACAATTTGGGGATATTGGATGGATGGAAAATTCCCTCTGAATCATTTATGCCTTCTTCCAGGAATGCTGCTTCTAAGCTTACCTAGGAAAGTCCTGAACATACTACCCCTCCCCAACTCTTGTGGAGATATTCTTATCTACTTGAAGGCCTTTCTTACACCTTGGAGGTTTGACACATAAAGAAGCCAGAGGTTTCTTCATGGGGCTATGAGACATTCTTGAAACTTTGTCCCTGTACTTACACTGGAACAAGATATTCAAATCTAAGTAAATTCAAAAAGGTCAACCTAATCTGGTGGACTAGAGGAGTTGGCCACAGCTCGGATTATAAGCCTCTTCCCACTGTACATTCAGACAAATATGTAGCGTACAACTCTGCCCCACATAGAGACATATTGATGAGCAAAGTACGGAGTGGAAAGATCATAAAAGTATAAGATGTCAGGACCTCCCTCTCTTAAAAGTTAGAGCCACTATAATGTCAAGGAACAACAGAATGCCAAATTCTATAAAGACATAAAATATAAACATTGTATTATGCCAGGATTTGAATAAAAACTGCATCAGCTTTAGCCTGAGGATTTTCCCTGGGCACTCTGACCACTAAGAGTTAGTAATATACTACCTGAGACATGGAAAAATGCCCAGGGTGACTTGAATATTTTGTTTTGGTCTAGTATCCTTGAAGCAACCAAAGCTACCAGCCTGAGAGCAGGCTGTCATGTGCCTCTAGATTCTTAAAAATTGGGTTATGGAGTTAATGAGTATAAATGATAATTCTGTTTATTAATGATGTAAAAACCTGAGGGAAAATGATTGGAAATGATAACTCTGTTTTGTCATAGTTCATTAATGATGACTAAAAGATGAGTAAAAAGAAGTGAAACACGTGTCCAAAAACAAAAATGATATAATCTATGTTTTTGAAACATCATGAATGCATCCCTACTTACTAAATTCTGTATAAATAAAGCCAATGAGAGATACAGATTGTCAGAATAGGACAAACCATACCAAGATGTGCTTCCTCTCTGTCCTTCTCTCCTAAAACAAAATTAAGAAGTGTCCCATGTGTGATTCCTCCATCACCACTCTTGCACCCACCTACCTTCAGACCCTGCCTTCATCTGGAGCTGGACTTCAGGAGGCAGAGATTCATCCAGATCTCTGTGAGTTCAAGGCCACACTGGGAACAGAGCCAGGCATGGTGGCACATACCTTAGTTCCCAGTACTGGATAACCATACAGATTTGGAGGTCTATATAGACAAACAGGAAGTGATAGAGCTAGGCAGAAAGAGGAAGTGAGGTATCTGGGCAGAGAGAGGAAGTGAGATGGCAGGGCACAGAAAGGATATAGGTGTGAGTATACAGGAAGTAGCTTTCTCTCTGAAGACTGAGGAGTTGGTAAGGTGAGGTTGGCTGTGGCTTGTCCTACTTCTCTGATATCTCAGTTTTCACCCCAATATCTGGCTCCAGGTTCTTTTTTTAATTTTTTTTTGAAAGGGTTTTTCTGTGTAGCTTTGCGCCTTTTCTGGAACTCACTTTGTAGACCAGGCTGGCCTTGAACTCACAGACATTTGCCTGTCTCTGCCTCCTAAGTGCTGGAATTAAAAGCATGCACCGCCACCACCCAGGTTCTTTATTAATAAGATTGTTTAGCAATTCATCTTACACCATGTGCATACTGGAAACTGTGTATAGCCACTGAACCTGAAAGCTGAGGAGTCATGTGCTAGAATCACAGAATCATCTGAATAATCAGATGCAGAATGGGAAAATCCTGACACTAACAACCAATACTCTGGATGGTCCAGTTAATAAGAAATATGAAACCACCAAGGAAAAATTTGACAAATGCTTTAAAGACTAGATAGTAAAATATTTATTCAGTGGAAAGAAAAATTTGAGAATAGATTACGGACCCTGAAAAATGAACCCATATTTAATACCAGAATAAAAATAATGATTTTCTAAATATTAGGAAAAAACAAGAAAGGCTAGATAACCAAAAGATACATGATAAAAATGAATTATTAGGGTAGAACAAAAAATGGTTTTAAGTATGAAGGGAAAAAAATTCAGTGATGAAAATTGCATAAGATATTCTATCAATTTTGGACAAAGTGCAAGCTGCAACTACATGGGACAACTGGTCCTCATGTCACAGAACTTAACATTGATTTGGATTCTGAGAACATCTTTCTAGGGTATTTAAATAAAGGAGAAACGCATAGGGGCAAAAACTATAGGGTAATTTTAGAGAAAAGTTTCAAGTCAATTATAAGAAACATACTGAAATGAAAAAAAAAACAAGGTAGAGATAGAACATCCAAATTAACAAAATCAGAAACAAAAAAAGAAGGATAAAACAATAGACATTGAGGAAATCCAGAGAATCATAAGGATATGCTTTAAAAACATGTATTCCACCAAACTGAAAAAAATCAAAGATATTGATAATTTCCTCAATACATTCCACTTGCTAAAGTTAAATCAAGATCAGATAAATAATTTAAATAGACCTATAACCCCTAGTGAAATAGAAGCAGTCATGAATATCTTACTTACCAAATTAAAAAAAAAAAAAAGCCCAGGTACAGACGCAAAATATACAATGGAGGATTCTACCAACCAGACTTTCAAAGACTTAATCCCAATACTCCTCAAATTATTCCACAAAATTGAAACAGAAAAAAACATTACTCTATTTGTTTTAGGAGGCTACAGTTATCCTGATACCAAAATCACATACTCAAGAAAGGAAGAAAATCACACAATAATTTCCCTTATGAACACAAATGCAAGAATGCTCAACAAAATACTTGCAAATATAATCCAAGAATACAGCAAAATTATCCTTCACCATGATCAGATAAGTATCATCTAAACACCCAGGGAAGATTCAATATATAAGAATAAGTAAATTGAAATCCAGATATAAACAAACTGAAAGATAAAAATTTCATGATCATTTCATTAGGTATAGCAAAGTCCTCTAACAAAATTCAATACTGCTTCATGATAAAAATTCTGGGAAACTAGGGATAAAAGGGACATACATGAACACAATAAAGACAATTTACAACAAGTTTACAGCCAACAAAAAATTAAATGAAAAATTCAAAGCAATTCCACTAAAAATTCTGCTAAAATCAGGAACAAGAAAACACTGTCCACTCTTTCCATATATATTCAATACAGCACTTGAAATCTTAGCTAGAGCAATAATACAACTGATGAAGATAAAGAAGACATAAACTGGAAGCTAAGAAATGACAGTATTGTTATTAGCAGATGATATGGTAGCATACAAAAGTGACCCTAAAACTGCCACCAGAGAACTACAGCAGATAAACACTTTCAGAAATGTAGCTATATACAAAGTTTACTCACAAAAATTATTAGCCTTCCTTTATGCAAATAACAAACAGATTGAAAAAGAAATCAGGGAAACAACACCTTTCACAATAGCCTCAAATAATATAAATTATCCTGACATAACTCTAACTAAGCAAGTGAAATTCTTGTGTGATTAAAAACTGTAAGTCTTTAAAAAAGAAATTGAAGAAGATACCAGAAGGTAGAAAGATCTCCCAGCCTCATGGGCTGGTAGGATTGACATAATTAAAATGGCCATCCCAGCAAAAGCAATCTAAAGAGTCAATGTAATCTCCATCAAAATCCCAACACAATTCTTTCAGGACCTTGTAATGACAATTCTCACTTTCATATGGAAAATCAAAAAACACAGGGTAAGTAAAACAATCCCAAACAATAAACGAACTGCTAGAGATAACTCCATCCATTATTTTAAGCTAGACTACAGGGCTCTATGTAATAAAAACTGTGTGGTATTTGCATAAAAACAGACACATTTTTCAATGGAATTAAATTGAAGACACAGACATAAATCCAAACACAAATGAACACATGACTTCTGATAAAGAAGCCAGAAATACAAGTGGGAAAAAAGGCAGCATCTTTAACAAATGGTGCTGAACAAACTGGATGTCTACATGTAGAAAACTGCAAGTAGATCCATGTATCTTTATATTACTTACACAAAACTCAACTCCAAGTGGATCAAAGGCCTCAACATAAAATCAGATACACTAAAACTGATAGAAGAGAAAGTAGGGAGTAGCCATGACAGCATTGGCACAGGAGATGACTTTATGAACAGAAAACACTGATAGCACAGGCAATAAGATTAATAATGAAACTAAAAAACTTCTGTAATGACACTGTCAATCAGAGAAAGCAACAGCCGACTGAATGGGAAAAGATATTTACCAAATCCATACCCCATAAAGGAAAATTATCCAAACTATATACAGAACTCAAAAAATTAGATTAAAAAATAATTCAATATAAAAATGGAATATAGATCTAAATAGATAATTCTCAGCAGAGTAATTTCAAATGGCCAATATTAGTATTTTGACCTGTCCCTTGGAGACCTGCCTAGCGTCCTGATGTAAAGTCCCCTTTAAAAAAGAAAACTGTCTCTCGGCACAATCTCTCTCCATTCCCAGAAGGTGTGCACACTCACCCCCTCTCTTCCTCTCTTTCTGACTTTCCCTATCTTTCTATCAAATAAACTCATTTCCATGTGGATGCAGTGCCTGGGGATGTAACTGTCCATAGACTACAGCCTGCTGCTGCATCTGCTGGCGTGTTTCCCTCACAGGTGGGATACCCTGGCCCAGCCAGCCAGAACTTCCCGTGTGCGGTGTCATAACATTGGTGCTGTGACGTGGCCAGGCTTTCCCATTGCTTTTTCCTGCCCTCAGGCATTCTGAGGAACTCTGGGACCCTGTACCACCCACAATTTTTCTGACTGGAAGACTGCTGGGAACTCATCACCCTATCAGATAAGTAAGATTCCTCCCTTCCCTTCTGCTATTTCCCACAACTGAGGATTCATCTCATTTTGACAGTGGTCTCTCGCTTGTACCAGAACCACATGTCTTTCAGGTTCATAGTCCCAAGCCCCTGTTCCTATGCAACGGCATATGGCAACAGGCTGCAACCATTCTCCATGGTCCAAAGCCTTTGGTACGATGGTCCACTGGCTATCTTGTGCCATTATCATTGGTCCTCACTGACTCTCTGGGACACTGGAGGTCAGCCCACTCGACCTTTTACCTCACTGTGGAAAATGTGCCAGCCTCTCCTATCCCAGCTCCCTACTCATTGCCCACTCCATGCTCCTCCAGTCTCTGCTAAGCAATTACATCATCACCTGTCAACAGGTTCCTTTCTGCAACATGTACACCCTTTAAAATACCCATCAGTTCTCTTTGCCTGTCCCTTGCCTCTAATTCCTCTCCTTGTCTGTAATTTTCTCTTAAGCCTTTTCTCTCTGTTGCTTAATTCTGTTGCCAGGACCTCATCTGCCTGTTCCACCCTGAGGACACTGGCCCTATTCCACCTTCTGCTGAGCAGAAGGGGTGGCAGACTAGCTGCAGAAATGTCTGGTCACTTAACTATATTTCTGCTACTGCTGCTGCCACTCACACTGTTGCCTCAAGCCAGGGGGAGCATAGCCCCCACCCCCACCACCCCACCAAACCCATGGCTTGGGTTTATTCCTCTGCAGTCTCCTGTGCCATACCACAGCCTGGGGGGGGGGGAGTCCGTCTCTCCCACCAGGCTGCACTGCTACTCCCAGCATGTGCCCTTCTCCCTCCTGCTGCCACTGCCACTACCACAACTCAGAGCCAAGCCCCTCCCCCTTCACGCAGCCTGCCTTCCCTCTGCCACTGCCACACTACCAGGGCTCAGGCGATGGTCACATAAACCTGTTTCTGGCAGACTTTTAAATAGTTCAGTTTATCTATTCCTTAACTGTTCACTTTGTCTTGAAAAAGAAAAAAAAAATGTGAACACATGGTCAGGTGCCAGAGGGCCATCACTTGGTCAGGCAGATGCCATCTTTACTAGGGTCAAAACAGATAGGTCATATTGGTCTATCACCACATTTGATAAGGACAATCACGTGGTCAGACGCCATCTTTACTAAGGTTAAAGGCAGGTCATTTGGCTTCACTGCCATCTTTGATATGGTCAGAGCATGTTTCTCCCAAGTCTCTGCCCCAGTGTGGCAGATATGCTCCCTCCTGCCCATATCAGGCCTGCTTTCTGATTACTTTCTTGCAGCTTTACAGTTTGCTACAATATTCAAGTCAGGGATGAAGAGGCCAGCTTCGTCCTGCTCAGCACACCTGTCTATTCCTAAGGGTGATATTTTTCTGTCTTCTGGTCTCCCTTTCCCTACTACTAAGATTATGGGTCTAAAAGTTCCAAAGAAGTTCATAAATTTTAACTTTTGACTCTAATCTATATTTCAGCAGGCTGGTAGACATGTTGAAACAGCAGTTGCATAACCTGCAATGTAGAATGCCAGGTTTCCCAGCTACAGATGTGAGCAGAGACTCCTGTCTGTGAGGTAGATGAGTCCAGCCAAACATAGATGTTCCCTATCTCTACAGCCATGTCAGATGACCACATACTTCTGATAAATACCCTATTGCCTGCCTCCTTGGGCTCTGATTGTATGTACCCCATTTCAGCTTGAAGCAGCTATGAAGGAGAATGTGTCATCTTGTACTCCTTATTCCCAAAACAGGATAGAAAGTAGAGTTAAATGTAAAACCCCTGGCATAGGGGACAAATTGGCTACTGAATGCCCATTGATATACCAGGCAACTGGATCCAATATTGCAATAAGATAAGATAGTTGACCCTCTTTATGCAGAACAAAAGAGGTATTCTATAACCTTAATAAATTATTATTTCTATATAAATCATTCAGGATTATAATCTGGCTGTACTCAAAGATCAGAACTATAACTACAGGGTCTTAAAAAACAATAACAGATTCTAATATCACTGCCAACAGCTTAAAAAATGTCTCTCCTTACTCAATGCCTACTCAGGCTTAAGAATGTAAGCCTCCTTGTCCTTGATAACTTCATTAAGCTGTAACTAACTCAGAAACCTGTATATCCAGATTTAATTTATATATGCTCTCTAAGTTAATTTAAATACATCTAACAGATTTTGTTCCCCTAGTCCTCAAAAACCTTTAGAGATCTGAGAATATGGCATTTAATCTAAAAGCTTTTTATGACAGAGAGACATGTCAGCTCCTGGCATCAACCTGCATCTTCTCCAAGAAGATAGATGACCACAGAAGAAGTTCCACCTGGAAGCTTATGGCAAGGCCAGTCACACAGTGAAAAGCTGAGATCCTGTTCAGACTGTGAATAATTGGAACAATGGAGGATCTATTACCCCATACTGCAAAGTCAAAATGGGCCAATCTCCCCAAATTCTTCCTGTTAAATCTTCTGGGCTTAGCAGCTGAGCAAGTCCTGCCTTTGGGGCTTCTGTCCACCAATGACCATGGAGAGACTTGGGATTGCTGCCTAGGTAGCTGTAAAGCTGTCTCACTTCTTAAATATATCATTCTCGGATCTGACAGTGTTTGGTGACTAGGGTATCAGTTTAACAGCCCCAATCCCAAGACTACAAGCACCTTGATATCTCATTAATAAATTTCCTATTAAAAATACAAGCAAGTATCCCTCATTCACAGACTTCATGGTGCAAGTTTCAGATATAACTCCAGAGTTTCAAAGTTTTAATATTGATAAATGCAGTTTTGATAAACTGATACAGCATTGACTATGAACTATTCTTAAGAGTCCTTAAATTTCTATGGATTCTTAATCCTTTTTCTGTGATATAAATCCATTCAAGTTGTCTTACAGATACCTGCAGGTTCTTGAGAAAAGTTTTGCTACTGTATCAAGAAATCTTATCTGATGAAAACTAACAATCTCCATAGCCCATTTTTTACCCCACTCATTTTTCGATCATATTTTGCAGATTTACTCCTCCCACCTGACCTCAGAGAAACAGCAGATGCCATGGCTTCTGTACTCCTGATTTGGAATGCCATTCCACCAAGCTCCTGGAACATTTTTGTAGGTTGTCGTTTGACACTTTTGGGGGGATCCACCACCCAGTTCCCCAATAAATCACACAGAGGCTTATTATTACTGATGAATGCCCAGCCTTAGCTTGGCTTAGTTTCTAGCCAGCTTTCTTCAGTTTAACTTGTCTATCTGTTGTCTCTGAGCTTTTTCCATTCTCTAACTTCTGTAAATCTTACTTTTACTCCATAGCTTGCTGTGTAGCTGGGTGGCTAGCCCCTGAAGTCCTCCTCCTCTTCTGGCTCCTAGCTCTTAGATCTCCCCCTCCCAGTTTTCTCCCTCCATATATACTCTCTGCCTGCCAGCCCCACGTATCCTTTCTCCTGCCTTGCTATTGGCCAGTTCTTTATTAAACCATCAGGTGTTTTAAACAGGCACAGTAAAATAGCTTCATACAATTAAACAAATGCAATAGAAACAAAAGTATCACATCTTAAAATAACATTCCACTATAGAACATCACTGCTGCAATCTGCTTTCTCAGCTCCCACAAGGAGCATATGCCTGAGATCTCCCATCATGCATGATTCCCGACTTGCCCCTCCCCATTTTGCCCCTTGCCAGTGTGAAGCAGTCTCAAGAATTCAGTGCCCTTGTTCCCCCACTTGCTATCCATAACTCACCTATTATAATAATAATCAAAACAGAGGAATGTTAGTATTCTGACCCACCCCTTGAAGACCCTCCCAGTGTCATGATGTAAAAAAAAAAAAAAACTTCCCCTCCCCTTGCTCTCTTTCTCTACATCCCCATAAGGTGTGCACCCTTACTCTTCTTTCTCTCTCTTTCTTTCTGTCTTTCCCTATCTTTCTATCAAATAAACTCATTTCAGTATAGATGCAATGCCTTGCCAGAGTCTGCTGACAGTCAGCTGGGTATCTGGGTGGAAGCATGAGGACTGTAGAGACAATGAAGCAGATAGAAAATAATCAAGAAGTCTGCCAGTCAATGTCAGACAGCCCCGAGTTTAATTCACAGCCAACTTATATACAGTTTTGAAGGACAGTAGAACAATGCACAGTACAGGCATTCAACCACTATCTATCCTGCCTTATGTCAAGGAGCAGGCAGATTCATTTTCTATCGCAACACACCTCTGGCTGGCATCAGCAGCCTGCATCTAGCTACTTAGTGTGTTCCTTCCTGTGGGCAAATCAAGACTTTCTCACAGCCCTTAAAGTAGATTCTGTGGACTAATCAGGACTTTCTCATGGCCCTGGAGCAAACAAGTTTGAACTCTATTGACTCAGAATAGACTTCATATTCAAACTGGGAAACTGAGTCAGTTGCAGGTTCTCACAATGCCTGGAGGTGCAAGTGACTGTCCAAATACTGCAGCCTGCTGTTTCTTTTGCCCAGCATGTATCCCTATTGCATGGGAAACCCTGGCCTGGACAGCTGGTGTGACCTGTATGCAATATCATAACAGCCAAGAATACTTAAATAAATATTTAACAGCCTTAACCATTAGAGAAATGCAAATAAAAACTACTTTGAGATACCATCTTATACCTGTCAGAATAGCTAAGATCAAAAATACAAGTGATAGCTCATGCTAGTAAGGATATGGGGCAACGGGAACACTCATCCATTGCTGCATAGAGTGCTAAGGTAGTTCCCAGGAACCGACAAGGATGACCCCAGCTTAAACTACTTGCAATAGTAGAGAGGGTGCCTGTACTGGCTTACCCCAGTAATCAGATAGGTGGATACTTTAACTGTCATCATAGAGTCTTTCTTCTTTAACTTATGGAAGCAGATGCAGAGATCCACAGCCAAACACCAGGGCAAGATCCAGGAGTTCAGTCAAAGAGAGAGAAGAGGGATTCTATGAGCAAGGGGCATCAAGATCACAATGGGGAAACCTACAGAGACAACCAAACCAAATGAGTGGGAACTCATGAAATTCAGATCAATAGCTGTGGAGCCTGCATGGGACTTGACTAAGCCCTCTGCATAGTGAGACAGTTGTGTAACATGATCTGCTTAAGGGGACCCCTGGCAGTAGAGTCAGAATCCATCCCTGGTGCATGAGTAGACCCTTTGGAGCCCACTTCTATGATGGTACACCTTGCACAGCCTTGAGACAGAAGGAGGGGCTTGGATCTGCATCTACTAAATGTACCTTCCCATGAGAGGCCTTACCTTCTTATAGGATGGAATGGGGTGTGGGTTGGGAGAGAAAGGCTGGAGGGGCAGAAGAAGGGAAGAGGGGGATCTTTGGTACATAAAATGTATTTTAAAATTTCTTAATTAAAAAAAATAATCATGTCTACTACTTTGCTCACCTCTGGGATGGCAATCCCACATTGGACCTTGCAATTCTCTATACAGTCACAATGTTCAGGAACTGAAGGATTCTTTGAAATGCCCAAAAAGAATCCAGGAAAAGGATCATGAAGATCTCAGATGTAAAATTCCGAATTCAAGATTTGTGGAAAGCCCTGGTCTAGGAGAACTACAGTTTCAGGTTCAGGAACACACAAGAGGTCATAGCCATGAGTAAACTGGAAACCATATATAACCACTGAACCGGGGAGCTGAGGAGTCATATACTAGAATTACAGAATCAGCTGAACAATCAGATTCAGAATAGGAAGATCCTGACATTCACACCCAACACACTGGAGGGCCAATTAACAAGAAATATGAAACCATCAAGCAAGAATTTGACAAATATTTTGAAGAAGACCTAGATAGGGAAACATTGGTACAAAGGAAAACAAATTTTGAACATAAACTATTAATCCTTAAAGATGAAATTATTTCAGACACCAGAAGGAAAGGCAATGAACTTATCAGTCTTAAAAAAAGCCAAGAAAGGCTAGATAACCAAAGGTCACGATATGAAAATGAATTGTTAGAAAAGAGCCAAAAGTTGACTTTAGGTGTGAAGGGTAAAGAATTAAGCAATGAAGAGTTACATGAGAAATTTAATCAACTTTGGACAAATTGGATCTACAATGAATATATCTTTGACTGTACGTTCTGCCAAAGATCCTAACATTGATTTGGATTCTGAAAATATCCTTCCAGAGTATTTCAAGAAAGAGAAAAACATCATGTAAAGACTTAAAAAGGACTCTGGAGAGATGTTTGAAATCAAAAATCCCAAACATGTCCAAGTGAAAAAAAGTAATGGGGTGATTCCAAAGAGTTCAGAAACCTGTCATAAAGAATCCATTAAGAAGACTGCTAATCACATTTATTTAAGATTTAATGAAACAATTAAAAACATTTGGAAGCAAAAGCATGATTACAGTCAGAATGATTTTCATGAAATCTTGAGGAAAATAGAAAAAGAACTGAAATCCGGACCCCCTGAAGAAGACTACACATTTACCAGAGACTACAACATTGATTTATCCTTATGCTTATTCCAAAGATCATCTAAGAGTTTCAAGGAAATAAACAGGACATTCAAGAAAGAAAATGATCCAGTAAACTATCTGGAGAGAAAGAAAGATGATTTCATCAGTTTTAAGATCTCCTGCCAAGGTGCCATGTCCATCACATCTCTTGTTGACTTTCTGTGGCTCAAGCTCACTTCTGCTATCTATGCCACTATATGGGAGCAAGTGGGTCCTAAAGTAGCTGGGGACATGACAGCCACCGGCCCTGCATTCAGTGGGAACAGGGTTAACTTAGAAAAACATGTTCTATTTCTCTGGCAGAAGAAGAAAATTTTGGCAATACATTCATCAGCCAGAATCCTTTTTCAGGCATTACATTAGTGACCACATTAGAAGATTCTGTTTTGATAGAGAAGGTAAAAATAAATAAATAAAGAATTTAAAAAAAAATAAGTTTAAAGCACCAGGAGAAAAAGGATAGAGTTTCTTAAAGAAGCCATGACTACAGCTTTGGATCCTTCAATGAGGAAAGTAGAAGAGGACTGCTCAAGTAAGCCCATAGATGAAATGGTTCCTGATATTGAAAAAATTCTCTCTGAACATCTCTGTGGCTGCTAGAAACAGTGTCCTTTGTGTAAACCAATTTGTACAAACACCATACCCCAACATGAAGGAGACCACAGTATGCCATTCTACCATCCTCAGGTTGTCGATGGATGGCATAAATATAAAACAGACTACTTTGATATTGACTTCTGTACTAGTTCAGTAGCAAGTGATCATTTATTTTATGCGACCTCCAGCAATACCTATACCAGAAATATCTAGAAGCAGCGGTGATTTTTGCCTCATGGAGCATTACCACAGACTTATCATATTGGAAATTGTTTGTTTGTCACTTCAGATCAGAGCTTGAAGAGAAATATGAGAAAAAAATTTACAGAGTTAGGTACTATTCCAGATTTGTGGACCAAAATCACAAAGCAAGAAGTTCTTGATGACTTGAAAGATAATTGCTAAAATAGAACACTGGCACTGCCACACATTTTACAAAGGATCCTAATGTCAATTTATGTGGCACCTTCAAGATTGTGGCTTATAAATAAAATACATAAAAATATATCAGTTACTATTTCAAGATCTGAAGATTTTCTCTTAATGAGATATTTTTCTGTCTTGATTTCTCCTGCTTTGAATATAATGTATTAAACATAAGAGTATATGATAAAAATTAGTATCCATTCAAAAGCCTATTCATACTTTATTATTCTGAATACTTGTTTAGATATATAGTGACTCATGAGAAGTCTTATTAAAAGAAAACTCTATCATTTCAGATGCCACATATCCATTTAGAACAACTAAATGGCAAATTCAACCAATATGTATGTCTGAGGGAAAGATATAATTTGCATTAAAGTTCTTTAAGTGGATGTTTTTCCCTTCTCAGGTTATAAGAAAATGTGGCTGTGGTATTTTGAATGTAATTGGCCCCTATAATCTCATAGGAAGTGGCACTACTAGGAGGTGTGGCTTTGTTAGTGTGGATATGACCTTGTTGGAGGAAGTGCTTCACTGTGGGTATTGGCTTTGAGGTTTCCTATGCTCAGAATACAGCCCAGTGTTTCAGTCAACTTCCTGTTGCCTGCAAGATGTAGCACTCTCAGCTGCAGCACCACATCTGCTTGCATGCTGCCATGCTCCCCAC